TATGATATAAATTGATTAAGTAAATCTTTAATCAAAAAAAGAAAAAAGAAAGAAGAAGTAGAGATTTACGAGAGGCCACGTGACTAGTGGGTAGAGAACTAATCTCATTTCAATGTAAGTACTGCCACGTGTATGAAAATATGTTGATTGACAAGACTTAGTCAAATATTTTGTTTGATATTCTGTTTCCCCCCACCTTTATCCAACTACTCTATCCCACACGTTTCCCACTACATGCCAACTCTTGAAGATCATGTTATTATTGCTGGTGTATATAAATACATGTATAATGGACGACACACACACAAACTATATTCATGCACGGTAAACACAGCAGAGGCAAAGGAAAAAAAATGTTTGGAACGTGATATTGGAAATTTCATCTTTCTAGAATTTAATCTAACAAGTAAGAAATGAGGTGCAGTTGATTTATCCCATTTAAATTATTTTTTTCATGATGATGAAATTTTATACTTATGAAAGTTAAAGATATGATATGATATGATGATATGATCATTCCGTTACAAATGATATGATATGAGCTCTTACCGGTTTCCAAAGATATGATGATGGTATGATTTTTCTTGACACATGACTTAAATATTTTATTCGGGATTGCACCATATTTTTTTGTCCTACTGAGTATTCTCATATACTCATCATTTTCCCTACTCCTCACAGGTTAGAACGGGTTGTTGGTTGGCAGGCGATGAAGTGCAGTCGTTGTGCCAGACATTTGGAATTAATAAATCGAATCCGGTGTAACGTGCCTTGAATTCTAAATTTTAACAGTTCCTTAGTTTATGAACTTTTTTTTGAAATCGTTCATTTTATTTGAAATCTGGAACAAATTTATTTGGAAGTGTAATTTCGTATGATGACTTGAAAATTTTAACTTGTTTATGGTATTTGGTGTTTATCTTGCTATTTACTTTTTCTGCATAAATAAATACATTAAATTGGAGAGTTAAACATAAAGCAGCTTTGGGATTTGATTTACAAATTGTCATACATGTCTAATAAATGCAATGTACTATAATGATTTAAAAATGGATGAACCTTGAGACATGTCTCACTTACTGAAGAAAGACAAATAGTTATTATTATACAAGTGTAATATGATTTTGCCTCTAATAATTTGCAGATTAATTATATGTGATCATTCCAAATGTATTCGTTTAAGATATGTCGTAGGGAAATATTTTGATTTCCTTTTTGTAATTAATATACAAATTTCCCTTTGGTTAGACTGGTTAGTACTGCACAAAGGCAAAGTATGCCATATTCGTGTAGAGTTTTAGATTACATGATTTTGTTATAAAAAAAATTCATAATTTTGACAAGAAAATGATCAATTTTATTTATGTTTTCTGCTTTTGATTTATAAATTTCTTTATATATGTGATACAATAATAAGCTCAAAGAATTCTAGTAAAGAATGATAAAATGAACATCAGTAAATTCATAAATTCTCAAAAGCAAGAATCAACAAAAACACAAGGAATATTGAGCATAAAAGCATAATTTTATTTCCAACAATGCATTAAATTAAACACAAGAAAGTGACACCAAATACATAACAAAGTAAGCTCAAATAAAGTGGTGAACTACCCCAATGGAGCTTAACTTATTCTACTACACCAGAACATCAGTAATTATAGTAATATTGTAAGGGTCTTGATTTTTAGGGACACTTCATGGTGGAGTGGTAATACCTGCAAGAATAAATGTGTTGTAAGTTATTTGTAGAACGTGAAAAATAAGTTAAATTTAGATATAATATTAACCATTAATAAGTCATCATGATTTAAAAATGAAGAGTGCGGGAGCTCGTGTATGGCTAGGCGAGCTTGAGATAGAAGATTTAACCATACACATCATATTTAAAATAGTGTTTGTGTGTGTGAGAAAGAATAAGGAACCTACTTCCACATCTGTAGTTGCGAGGAACCGGCCTACCACACCCTTCAATCAGTTTCACAACACGAGATACTCCAATGCCTTTAATTGTTGCTGCTGCTTTAGGGCCAAGATAAGGACAAACACATTCAATATGAGCATCCCTTACGTTTTGACAACATGTAGCTGATGGATTTCTCCCAAAAATAACTGGCCTACAATTATTAACCAGAGTATTTTTTTCATCCTTACATTGACTCGGAGTTGCTCCTTGTGCCATTGTAGCCCCCCGACCACCAGCAACCATAGCAATCAAAATTAGCATCCCCACCCATTTCCCCGACATT